TATATGCTCGATTAACTTTGTTCTCTACACAGGTGATGAACGTTCCTTGCCTCGAGCAAGGATGGAAGAAGTTATATTTGTTCTGAAAGAGCTTGCTCAACTTGTAATTCTTCCTGAAACAGGAATGTCTCTTCCTTTGCCTCCTCAATTGAAAGAGGTTTTGTCTAAGGATAATGAGAGAAGACATCCTCATTTGCTGGTTTTATTTCCTGCATTTTGTGAACTTGTTCTATCAAGGTAAGAAAGTTTATGGGTTTAACGCACCAAACCCCCCTGTATTATACGAAATCTGCGCGTTTCCCCCCTGTATTTTAAAATTGCGTCAGACCCCCTTCTATTAGACAATTTTGGGTGTTTCGCGCATACAAAACTTTAATAGACGGGGGTCTGACGCAATTTTTAAAATACAGAGGGGAAATGCGCAAATTTCGTATAATACAAGGGGGTCTTGTATATTTTACCCGAAAGTTTATGGCTTTTAAATTGTTTTTCTACAACATCTACATTGTTTAAATATTTTTATTATTTAAAATACGTGAAGCAATTACCTTACCAGCTGATGCTGTTAGACATGTCTTGCCTTCTGATTTTCCTGATGGGTTGTGATTTGATTTATATTCCTGTCTTAATAATACTAGTGTTTAGTGAAATTAATCACAAGCTAATAAAAATACAAAAGTCCCAAGCAAGTCGTGGTAGGCTAGAGATGAAACCCAAGAGAAACACAAAAAGATCGAACCGAAAGGAAGAGATCGAAAAAAAAATAAAAAAAAAATTACCCTACTCCAGAATAACTGATAGGTTCATTCTTGCTTCTTGTGGTTATAATTTCCCATTTCATTTGTTGGTTTACAGTTACACACATGCTCGTTATTTGTCTCGACAGGGAATTGCATGTTAGAGAGCTCGTACAAATCTGTCTTCGACTAACTGCTGAAGATTTGGGTTTGCAAAAGCTTGATGTCAACAGTTAAAAACAATCAGGTGAATGTTTGTGGCGAGGCCTCTGTAAATTCGTGTAAACTCCTATTTTTTCATGCGAGTCGTGCACGATGAGGA